ATGTTTAACTTAATTTTATAAATCACACAGAGAATAAGTAGAAGAATATTTAAAAGAATGAAAATCAAAGAGATGAAGATAAGGAAATGCAATAGAAAGAAATAAAGAATAAAAAAGTAAAGAGATAAGGGAAGAGATAAATGTTATAGTGATTTATAGAGGTTTGTTTTAGCTACTTGGCCTATTCATGTTCCTTAAGAATTTCTTCTTTAGAGTTTCCACTATATCAGATGTAAGTTTTTCACAAGTTATGCCTGTGAACCTTCTTACAACCAAATGAGAGATTTAACACCTATATAATATCATGATAAAATAGTTCTTGTACACTACACTTATCTTACGAATCAAGAAAAGTTTTTACACCACACTGAGCTCAAGAACCAAATAGAGCTTTTGACAGCTAAAAATAACCAAATGAGAGACTTTAACAAACTGGGCTCAAGAACCAGATATTTTACATGGATAAAAATCAAGAATACAACAAAGGTTTTAATTGGTTTAACTTAAGAAACAAACATAAAGTTCTTTGTGATATATTACACAAGATACAAACACCCTTGGGTAAATTAAAAGTTCCCACAACACTAAAACAACAAAAGTCCCACTGAAAGTTTTTCACTTAAAAAAACCCTAAGGAAATTTTGTAAAATTGAAAGAAATGAAATTGAGAAAGTACAAAGTGAGAAAGTATTATAGAAATGTGTTTTATAGTGTATTTTGAAATGAGTAAAGGCCCTATATTTATAGGAGAAAAATTTGGATCAAAAAGGAAAAAGATTCATGGGCCTTTTAATGATCTAATTAATTAAAGCATAAGTGTAATCGATTATAAGCTTCAAAAATATGACAACCCTATTTCCAAAAAGTAAACCCTATAGAGACTAGGTGTTTTAATCTATTAGATGTGTTCTTAATCAATTAAGAAGCCTTTTGTCTTTCTCTAATCAATTGGTTTGAGCCACTAATTGATTAGGCAATATATAAATGCTTTCTAAATAATTAGGAAGACACTTGGTCAATCTCACATGTACCTTGATGATTTATCTATAAGTTGTAAGGAATTTAAAACTATTTTTAAGTGCATGTGTATGTGTGTGTATGTGTGTGAATGTTTGTGTTTGTGCGCGTGTATGTGCTTGTTTCCTTAGTAATTTAAGAATTAATCTTATATCTTTACAATACACTAATCACTTATACACATACCATGTGAGTTTTCACAATCTTGAAGCTTCAAGGTCCCTTGCTTAATTCATCATTGATTCAACACTTCATTCGGGACATGTTTCTTCTACTAATAAGGCTTAATATGACTTCTTTGATAAACACCATCATCATATATTGCTTGACCATAGATCATCAGGGACTCCAACGAACACCTCTTGACATTAGGCATTTATTTTATAGAATCTCACAAACAAAAAATCTCGATTTTCATAGACTTCTTTGATTATTACTTATTATTGACTAGTGAAGACTTCACATCATAGTGTTTTCATCATTAAAATCTTGAATATCCGACAGTTATAGATAGTTGTACATGCAAGCATATAAATCCATATTCTCCCTCTTTTGACGATGACAATGCATCTATAAAAGAGATGAAGAAAACATAAAAGCTTTGGTAAAAGCTTTGAGTGGTTAAACTCCTATTACAAATATAGAGAGTATACTCTACTCTCCCTTGAGAGTACACTTCTTCCCCTTTGGCATTATCAAAATGGCGTGAAAAAAACAAATAGATAATAAGACAGGAAAAACATATCCAAGCACATAGATCAAGAATTTAAAATAAAGAAGAAGATAAATCCAATAAATATTCAATTATAAAAAAAGAAATATTTATTAAACAAAGGAAGGGTTACAAAAGGAAAGGTACTAGATGCAGGAAAATAAAGCAGTCAACAAATAAAGAAAATAAGCAAGCAAGTGAAAATTACTCAGTGTCGTCATCATCATCACTAAAGAACTCTAGAGGCCGAGACATTCCATTTCGAGTGAGTTGAAGGCCAGGTAGTTGATCTTTTTGTTAATTCTTCTATTCTATTTGATGAGGATGCTACAAAGAGATTTAGTAGGAGAAGTCGGAGTAATTTCATAATCGAAATCCTCTAGAGTTGAAGGTCCTCCTTATCGAGTTAGTTGACTTTGAGAGACTTTCTTTACTTTTGGAGGTTTTTCTATCAATGCTTTATTGTTGATTTCTATCTGCATCTTCCCTGTTGTAGCACTTACTATTCTTGTAGTATTTTTCAAGGATTCCTCACCCTCGAAATTGAAGTCAATGTTCCCCAATATTTTTGTTATCAAGTCACCATATGGTAACCACATATCCCACATCATGTGATGGATAACTGTATTAGCCCAATTTGTCTCAACTTTATTATAAAGTAAAACTAAGTTAAGGAAACATGATATTTTATATTTTCCCATCGTTTTATTATTTTTTTATGAGGATATGGTTTCCCACATAGTGAATGGGACAAATATTTGGGCGCACACTTCCTATAGTGAAAGGAGAAGGAACACTACCTCTTAGGTATAGTAGGAAAAAGTGAGAAACAATATCAAAAAAATCTTCACCTGAGTTTGATTCATTGTAGAGAGATCTAGTGCATGGAAGATTAAAATCCTGACACAATCTTCAAAAGAAAGAAAGATTTGATGGTTTCAAACATCAAAGGTAATAATTACATCTGAATAGTTGAGGTTGGTGAAAAAAACGTTCTCACAGGACTAGGATACATCTTCCCTGGTACAATGTTGATGAATTTTTTGAAATTTTCCTCATAGGAGACTTTTAAGAACTCACAACCTCCCAACACACTTACATCCAAGTAGTAAAATGGCAAGAATTTTTTGGCAACATAATCCCTATTGTACCTATTCACTTGCTCTTCTGATGAAAAATGTTCGGAGAAGTAGGATGAATAGAGAAACTTCCAATAGTTTTTATTCTCTTATATGTGTCATAGTGATGATGAATTGACACACTAAAGTAGTGTCCACGCACTCTCAAAGAGAACTAAAAAACAAACCAAATAATGATATGAGATGAATATGGAGAGGAACAGACTACTTCTTATAAACCAACTATAATTTATTAAATGCGCTTTTAATTAACTAAAATAATATATTCAATTAATTTTGATGGTGGTGGTTGTCCTAGGGTCATCTAATCGACTATACCTTTAGGTTTAATTGATCATAAGGTGTGAATTTTGAAATTCAAAAGCACCTAATCAATTATCTCTTTAGGTTTAATCAAGTAAATGATAATTTTCAGCCTTCTTTAGTCCTTTTGTGCCTTGGATAACTTTAGACTTGAGTCTATCTTTCTGCACCACTTTTCTTATCAATTTTACACTTCTTACTTAAATTCTCATTTTGGCTTGGCATAATTGGCTTAAGCTTATATTTATCTTAAACCAAAATGTTACTAATAATAAAATACGTTTTCTAAACACATAAATAATCACTTGTTAGAGAATTAACCAGAGCTTTCTAATTTTTATCATCTATCAGTGTTTTACCTCAATTTCTCAAGAACCTTTGTGAACTCTCCCATTGAAGAGAATGACATCACATCGTCGATTTTCCATCTCTCTATATTGCTTGACATGAGAGTTAGTTCGCATCTTTAATGGTGATAAAATTCTCAAAGAGTTTCATGACCATAATCAACTCTATCTTCTCATGGAACTTTTAAACTCATGTTTTGCATCATTTTTTTTTAATTTACAATTAAACCCTCAAAGATATAAATTATACCTGCGAAATAATTTAGATTTTCACCGTTGATACTAAAATCTTTTTGAGTCTTTGGATGTTAGTGGTTTTAAGAGGTCTCGGAAAATTTCCCTTTAACCATCTTAAATCATACAATTTTGAATAACAAAAAACTTCTAATTAATTACCGAACTTATTATAATAATTAGACTTAGACACAATTTGATTAAATTTTTTTTTCTATCATGGCAAATGCTAGTGAAGGATATATTTGGTTGATACATAATCCATTTTATTACATAAAGCTCTTTGATTAGACAAAATTAAATCCAATTTTTTTTTACTCTCAATAAATTTGTCTAATATTTCATATAAATCATCTGGTTCGTTTTTCGAAGACAATTATAACTCATATTTTTTATTAAATATATTCCAATTTAAATTTTGATAAATGTTGTGAAAAATAATAAATCGGATTTTAAACTAATTTTTATATAAAAGAATATTGTGTGAACACTTACTTACAAATTAGACACAATAAATAATAAATTTTTTTTTTGTGTGATTGAAATTTCCTTTTTAAAAATGAATAAGTGAAGTATCGCGGAAATTGACAACATAGATTTTATAGATTTTTATATGATGTCTTTATATAAGTACCAACTAATTTGACTTTTTTAACAAATAAGAAAATTATAAACAGAAGATTATAAAATGGGTGAAAGGTAATACAGTATATATTATATAGTATTACTACTTTTATTCACAGACTATAGACTATAGAATGAAATTCAAAGGAAACATTTAATTTTTTTCAAACACTTGTGTCAGAATGAAGAGCTATGTCAGTGCATAAAACTCCCCAACCTTTGAAAAAAAAAAGTGTTGTAGCCGTTTCTTTTGACAAAACTCTCTTACTTGCAAAACAACTGGACACCCCCTTACAAAACAACTGGACAAGAGACTGATTCTGCCACCAGGAATGCAAATTGCATGTTCATAATCTTAGAACAAAGAGCCAAGAAACATAATATCACAAACATGACAACATAATTGAATGTACATAATAATAAAAATTAATAATAATAATAATAATAATAATAATAATAATAATAATAATAATAATAATAATAATAATAATATTGTCCAATAGGTCACTTAGATAAAATAATCTAGGACCAAAAATGAACACTAGTAAATGCCTAAAGCATTAATAATATTAATTTAGTTAAAAATTAGCTTAACAAGAATGTGAAATAGTGGAGTACTTGAAGTCAATGAGACTGTGGTGGAATAATAGAACAAAGCTCAATTGATCCATAATGAAGCAACTCCTCAATCATTTGTTCAATGTGATCTTCTTCAAGTGGCTTAAAAAATTGCTGAGAGTTTTCAACTTTAACTTTCTTCAAAACCCAATTTCCCTCTGAACTTTTCTCCTCTTCATCATGTCTCATAGTAGTAGCATCAGTTTCTTCACTGTTTTTCATTGGAACATTGTTTGTGGAAATGGTGAGAGCTTGTGCAGATTCTCTCTGAGGTTGTTGTTGATGAGATATTGGTCGAGTGATTTGCAATGAAGCCATGTAGCATCTATGAAGTTTAGCAGTTAAGGTTGCTGAGAGAAGCTTGGAAGATGATGATTGAGACACGTTTGGATTGTAAGGAAAGTTTGTTCTTGCTCTTGTTCCACACATTAGTCTTGCTGCTTCGTCGTATGCTCTTGCTGCATCCTCCGCTGTTTCGAATGTTCCAAGCCAGATTCTTGTTTTTCTGCACATTATGAAGAGAGAAAAAAAACATGTTTCATTATTTTGACGAAGAAATGTGAAACTTGTGTATACTTATTTTGATCTGCAGTGAGTTTGACAAAATTACGAAGATGAGTGACTTTTAGACTTACAAAATGGGATGGCGAATTTCCGAGACCCAAGAGCCCCAATGCCTTTGTCGGACGCCGCGGTAGCGCTGTTGTGGTCTGGCCATGTTAGGGAAACAAATGTGTTTTATTTTCAGAGAAAGTGTTTTTGAATGATCTGGGAGAGTTTTGAAATTAAGAGGAGGTGATGGAGAAGGAGGAATGATGGGTTTTTGTAGTTGGATTTGTTTGGCACTTTTTCTAATGGATCCGGCAACAATTTATTAAGGGAGGATGGTCCCACATAGGATTTTTTTTTGGTCTTTCTTCTTTTTCTTTACTATTTATTTAGCTATAATAATAATTTTGCATTATTACAATTCTTACGTTAAATCAGTTCAATTGATACATGTATAAAAACCACGACATTCATCTCCAGATCAACATATGCAAGTTTAAATAGGCGACATCTCCATTATTCATAGAAATTGAGTTGAAAATCAGTTTAATGAAACTCGTTCGTTCAATTTATTTGTTACACTTAAAATTATTAAGATGGGTCATAGATTCTTCTCATATGAAAACTGAAATTTAGGGATAATGACTGGTTTGTAGCTTTCTTTTTGTATATATGTGTCATGTGTGAAAGATCTTTGAACAAATCCATCTTGAATATATAAATTATAAACTTCCTTGGTGAAAGTATTTTTATAGATCAAGTTGATTTTGGGCTTCTCTGTTACTTTTTAACAGACAATATCATGTTTTAGAATTTGTTTGAGACCAAGATCCTGTTTTGCAATAATTCTCTGTTTAAACATACTGTTAACGGTTGGATTTACTTAACCAATATGTTTTGTATATCACTGTATCAGTTTGAATTTTATAAGTGAGTCAATTGCAAGTTGGGGCACATTGATTTAGGAGGATCAAAGATTCTTGGACCATCATATAATTACCCTAGCCTATTAAATCATTTGATCAAATTTTCTTCATTATTATCATATATACTCAACAAACATATGAGAGAAACAAAACACTCTACTATGTGGGTCATGGAGGCATCAATGGAGACTTTCTTCACTTTCAGTCTTGTTGAAGTAAAATAGATAGAGGTTGATCAGCAATTTCGATTAATTTTAAAATTGTATGTCACTCAATGACATTTTATAACTATTTTTAGATCAAAACACTACTTTAAAATTTAAATAATCTAATCTTGATCATGTTAGCGTGTGAGACACTTTTATTGAGGGGAAAGAAAATAAAGAAATAAAAATTATATTATTGAATTGAATTGTTACAAATTATATATATATATATATATATATATATATATATATATATATATATATATATATATATATATATATATATATATATATATATATATATATATATATATATATATATATATATATATATATATATATATATATATATATATATATATATTAAGTAGACTAACAAATCTTGATTGAACTTGGACTTAGGTTACACAACTTGGATTAGGTCTAATATCTCAACATATCCCTATAATTCAAGTTGTCGAACATACTCTAAAAATAGTCAATCTGAACTATTCATAATTTCTCTCTCAAATTCAGGAATATGTCGATCATCAATCATTTTGTAAAAATGTCAGTCAATCGTGCTTCACTTGAGCAATGTCTAACTTCAAGTTCACCTCGATTTACCTTTTCCCTCAAGAAGTGAAATCTAGCTTCGGACTTACTTCTTCCATGCAAAATTGGATTCTTCGCCAGATTTATGGCTGACTTGTTGTCGATTTGCAACACAAGAGGTTTCTTCACTTTGACCTCCATTTCTTCAAGTACCAATCTGATCCAAATTGATTGATATGCAGCATAGGATCCTGCTATATATTCACCTTCACACGATGATAATGCCACCACAAATTACTTTTTCAAGCACCGTGAGATTGGGGCACCAAATACTTGAAAGAAATATCCAGTTGTGCTTCTTCGATCTTCCTTATCTCCACACCAATCAACATTTGAAAATCAAGTAATTATAGGTTATTTGCTTTCAGAGTATCGTCGAAATATAATTCCATAGTTTATCGATCCTTTTAAGTATCTCAGAATTCTTCTTGTAGCCTTCATGTGTGACACCGTTGGTTTACTCATGTATCTGCTTACTAATCTGACTGTGAAACGTATATCAGGTCGACTGTTGCATACATGCCTCAGAGATCCAACTATTTGTTTAAACAAAGTTACATCGACTTTGTCTTCCTCTCCATGCTTCTCCAACTTCAAATTTGGTTTGATAGGAGAAGATGTTGGAGTCGAATCATCCATCCTAAACCTCTTGAGTATCTCTTTGACATACTTCTCTGGATGCAACACCATACCTTACTTCGACATTTGAAATTTCATGCCTAGCAAACAAGACAATTTTCTCAGATCTGACATTTCAAATTTCTTCATCACCAGCTCTACTTCGACAACTTCTCCAAGTTATTTCCTGTTACCAGCAAGTCATCGATATATTAGAAAATAATTGTTATATCTTGTGCTACAACCTGAACATAGACACCATACTCAGACTTGAATTTTACAAATTCCAATTCGACTAAGTATGCGTCAATCTTCTTGTTCCATGCCCTAGGTGTCTGCTTGAGGCCATAGAGTTCTTTGTGCAACTTATATACTTTACTCGCTTCCTTCTAAATCACAAACCCATGAGGTTATCATAGACCTCTTCTTCTAAAGGACCATTCAGAAAGACTGACTTCAAATATAAGTGAAATACCGATCAGTCTTGATTGCATGCCAAGGCTACCACTAGTAGAACAGTCTCCAATCTTGCTACTGGAGCAAATACTTCAGAGTAGTCGAGTCCTGCTCTTTAAAGAAAACTTTGAGCTACTAATCTTGCTTAATGTCGTGCTATCGATCCATCAGTATTGTGTTTTAACTTAAACACCTGTTTTACTTCAATAACTTTTGCAAGTGATGACAATTCAACTAACTCCCATGTGTTGTTTATTTTGATTGCCTGTAACTCTTCGACCATAGAAGACTTCCACTGTTAAATCGTCAAAGCCTCACTATAGTTGATTAGTTAAGCACCTGCAAGTAAATCAAAATGAACTAATTCTCTATATGGTGTTACTTCATCATCACTGGTCACTTCATAATCTTAAAATCTTGTTGGACGAACTCTAGTTCTTTGAGGTATTTGTCTTGTGCTAGCAACACCCTCTTCGACTTTGATTGTTTCGAGAATGTCAGCAGCTGCTTCAACTTTGACTGGAATATCTGCAATTTCTTCGATTTCGACTTCATCAGTTTCTTCGTCGAATCTATAACTCATCAATGGCTTATTAATTGCATCACCAGAATTCCAATCCCAAGAATAATTTTCATCAATCACAATATCTCGACTTAACATAATATTCTCATTAATTAGATTGAATAGCTTGTATGCACCAATATTGTGATATCCTACTAGAATCATAGGTTCACTCTTGTCATCAAGCTTCCTTCTTATTGCATTAGGTACATACTTTTAACACATAGAGCCAAACACCATCAGATGACTCACTGATGGTCATTTGTCACTCCACACTTCTTCAGGAACCTTGTTCTTCAATTTCTTGGTAGGGCACCTTTTTAGAATATAAACTACATCCGAAACAGCTTCACCCCATAAGAAGTTTGGCAAATTCTTCTGCTTCAGCATGCATCTTGCCGTATCCAATATGGTTATGTTTCTTATTTCTGCAATTCCATTATGCTTAGGCGTGTAAAAAGCAGTTACCTCAAGATCGACACCATGTTCTACACATAAATCTTCAAACATCTTTGACGTGTATTCGCCACCTCTATTTGTTCGCAGAACTTTGATCTTCTTCTCACTCTAGTTTTTGACAAGTATCTTGAATCTCTTAAAGATTTCAAATACTTTATCCTTTCTTTTGATCATATAAATCTATAGTTTTTGAATAAACGCATTGACAAACAAAACAAAATATATGTTTCCACAAATGATATGTTCTTCAAATGGGCCACATGCATCTGAATGTACAACTTCGAGTATGTAGGATAATCTAATTGGAACAGTTGAAAGAATTTATGGATTACTTTCCGACTAAACAACCTTCATAGAGTTTGTTGGGCATCACAAGACTTGGGATACCAGTTACCATATCTTGAGTAATCAGTTGATTGAGTTATCGAAAGTTCAAATGTCTAAACCTCAAATGCCATAACCAATTATCCGCGTGGTTGACAATAATTTTTAGACATTATACTTCAGTCGAACTGATCATAGTCTTAAACGTCCTATCTTCGATAGCGGAGATTTTAATACCAAATTGTTCTGGGTATCGAACAATTTTAAAGATCCATCTTTCAAGATAATTGAGAAACTTTTTTCGACCAGTTGTCCAACACTTAACATGTTTCACTTTATTCTAGATACTTAGAGAATATATTTGATCATAGTTTTCCCTCCATTACTCATTTGAAAAACTATGTTGCCAGTACCTTCTGCTTGCAACGAACTATTATTAACAAGTTTTACCTTGCTTCTCTTTGACTCAGCGAAATTTGCCAACCACACCTCTTGACTAGTCATGTGATTTGAGCAGCTAGAGTCAAGGAACCAAATCTTGGATTCAACATGATTATCTGTAATTGCAGTCATAACTACCATACCTTCAAAATCATCTGAATCTTGGCGTGCAATTTTGCTTCTTCGTCCTTTCCTTTTCTCAATCCCTTGTCTTTCTAGTACAAATAATGCTTGGCCAAGTGACCACACTTTTCACAGTTATAGGACTGCCCACCTTTTTTCTCTTCTTTGTATTTCTTATACGAATTTACTTCTCCTCTTTTCGTTGTCATCGAGCTTATTCTCATGGGGATTTGACCAAGTCTTCTTTCCCCGAGTCGTGTTGAATTTGCCTTTGAATTTATTGGAACCACCATTCTTTTTCCATGACTGGGCCTGCAAAGCTTGTATCGAATCTTGAACTCTTTTCCTTTCAAAAATCTTAATCTCATGCGCTTCTAACGAACCAACCAAGTCTTCCAATTTTAGGGTTTCAAGCTGGTTGGATTCTTGAATATCTACGATAACATGATCAAAGTTAGAG